GGGGAGAAGTGATTGGAATGGACATCTCTTTTGGAGTGAAAGGTCTGAATTGCATGGAGTAGACCTCGCAGGGGGAAAGTGACCCTGATCTCTAAATGAGCCTAGCTCAGCCAGCACTCACTGCCCTTGCATTGTTCTTAGCAGTAGAGTCAGAACTGACTCATAGCTGACCCTCCCGTGGGTTTTCAGAGGCGGTAAATCACACTGGAGGAGACTGGCCATCCTACACCCTCTGAGGAGTTAGTGGGTTCGAACCACCTGTCTTAGGGCTGTCTGTGCAACTTCTTACCCTCTAAGGACTGCTGGTTACTAGGAGTGGAAGACGTGGGGAAAGGAGCTTATGTTTGTGGGGGTGTGAAATTTCTGTTAATGATGATGGAATATTAGGGGAAATGATAGGGAGAATAGTGGCATGTTAGGAAAATTCTAATCCACATGCTACATGGTGGCTGTGGAAGTCGTGGTGGTGGCTGATGATCTAATGTGTCTGTTTTCGTCACAGAAGTCCCTGAGTGGCACAAACAGTTAAACACTCTAACCAAAAGGTCAAATCCACCCAGAGGTGCGTCAGAAGACAAGCCTGGCAATCAAAAAAGATCTCCCAACTTTGGAAACACAATGGAGCCTTCTAATCTGCACCTATGGGATCTTGGGAGGCGGTGCTGACACCATAGCAACGACTACCACCTGCATTATCACCACAGTGATTAAGAAATAGTGTTGTTGTTAGGTGCCTTCCAGGCCAGTACGATTTATAGCGACCCTAGCCCTGGCCCTCCCGGTCTCTGACACACTCGAGGCCATTGCAGCCGTCACCGTGTCCATCTATCTGGTTGAGAGTCTTAAGAATGAACGGGATGGGAAAGGCCAGGGTGGGCTTGGCGGAGGGGAGGAGGCCCGGGGTGACAGCCAGTGACACAGAGGGTGTTTTTTTGTTTGTGTGTCTTTGCTCTGCAGAGATCATTGACGAGTACATCAAGGAGAACGGCTTCGGCCTGGAGGGGGCGCCCGCGGGCCTGGGCGAGGGGCTGCCGCGCCTGGTGTCCCGCGGTGCCGCCGCGCTCAGCACCGTGACCTTGGGCCCCACGGCGCCCCCGCCGCCCGTCACGCCGCCGCCCTGGAGCTGCCACCTGGGCCGCCTCCTGCCCGCCGCCCCCGGCCCGGGCCCGCGGCCGCACCTGGTCATCACCGAGCAGCCCAAGCAGCGGGGCATGCGCTTCCGCTACGAGTGCGAGGGCCGCTCGGCCGGCAGCATCCTGGGCGAGAGCAGCACCGAGGCCAGCAAGACGCTGCCGGCCATCGAGGTGGGGCCCGGGCCTGGGGCGGGGAGCAGCAGTCATCCGGGACTGTCATCATCCAGGGAGGGAGCTCGGGTGGCCTAGAGAATCCAGTTGACCTGCCAACCTCGAGGCAGATGGTTCAAATACACTGGGGAGAAAGACAGACACTCTCCTCATGTGCCTTTTACAACCTCTGAAAACCCACTGGAGGGGCAGCTAAGAGTCGATTCTGACCCGGAGGCCGTGAGTTGATAGTTATATGGTCTTTGGGAAAACTATTCGCTTCGGTGGGCATTTGGGGCTGCTAACTGAAAGGTCAGCTGTTCGAATCTGCCAGTCACTCCAGCAGCAGTGTTACAGCCTGGGAAACCGATGAAGGGTCGGAGTTGGCTGGGTGGTGTGGGGGAGTGATTGACCTAAAACTTGGCCGGTTTAAACTGACTCTGCAGTAGTGCAGAAGAAAGGTCTGGCGATCAGCTTACCTAAAGATCACTCCTAGAAATACCCCATGCAATAGACAGGCCTGTTATGAAAGGTGAACTGTAATATCAGGAGGGACTCAGTCCTTAGAACAGTAACAGTAGAAAAGCAAAAGGGCAGCATGTGTCCAGGGATAGAGCTCAGAAAACAGGAACAGGTAGGCTAGATGGATGAATGGAAATGAGAACCACAGGGAGGAAGCAGGAAGAGTGTGGTTACATTGTTGTTGATAGATTACATGGTGGCTGTTATGAGGTCCAGTACCACTCTTAGCGACCCTATGAACCACAGATCTGAACCCTCTCCTTTCTTGTGCCATCTTCACACTTCCTGACACGCTGCAGCCCATAGGCAGTCACTCTGTCAGTTCATCTGGTTGAGGGTCTTCCTCTCTGTGACAGACCCTCTACTTTTCCCAGAATGATGTCCTTCTCCAAGAAGCAGCCTCTCCTAGCAACATGCTCAAAGTTTGTGAGACGAAGCTTTGTCCTCTTTGCCTCCAAGAAGCACTCATACTGCACTTTCTCCAAGACATATTTGTTCTTTTGGCAGTCCGTGGGATATTCAGTACGCTTCTCCAGCACCACAGCTGAAAGACATCGATTCTTCTGTCATCCTTGTTCGTTGTCCAGCTCTCAGATGCATAGCAAATGATTGAAAAGACCATGGCTTGAATCAGGGGCCCCTTAGTCCTCAAACTGACATCATTGCTCCTCAATAATTTGGAAAGGTCCCTGACTGCAGATTTTCCCAGTGCAATACGTCTCCTGATATCCTGACTGCTGGTACCAAGAGTGTTGATTATGAATCCAAGTAAGAGGAAATCATTGACAACCTCAATCTTTTCTCCAGCTATCATGATGTTGCCTCAGTCCAGTGGTAAGAATTTTCGTTTTCTTGATATTGAGATGTGATCCGTATTGAAGGCTGTGTTCCCTCATCTTCTGTAGCAAGTGTTTCAAGTTCCCCTCACTTTGAGCAAGCAAGGTTGTTTCACCTGCGTAACGCAGGTTGTTGATGTGTCTTCTTCCTCTGATCCTGATGCCACATTCCTCTTCATAGAGTCCGGCTTCTCAAATGATTTGTTCTGCACACAGATTGCATAGGGATGGGGACAGGACACAACCGTGATGTACTCTTTTCTTCATTTTAAACCATCTGGTGTTCCCTCACTCTGTGCACACGACAGCCTCTTGGTCTAGATCTAGGTTTCACAAGAGCACAATCAAGTGCCCTGGTATTCCCATTCTTCTCAGTGTCAGCCATAATTTGTTACAAGCCATGCAGTCAAATGTGATTACATGGTAGGGGTTCCAGTCAATGTCACAAAGCAAATTGTGTGGGAAAGGTTGAATGGAAAACCAATTTGCCCTGGAAACTTTCACTCATATCGCGATTTTTTAAAATGTGCGTGTGTATGGCACGAACAGCCAATGCCGAGTCCTGCTGTGTCATAGTTCCATGAGTTGACCTCTATTCCAGGGCAACACGTTTTTGAAAAAAATTTATTCCAGCAAACATGCTGTTGTTAGTTGCTGCCTGACGCAGGCTCACGCTAACCCCCCATCTGCAGGGTAGTCCTGCTCCACCGGGTCTTCAGGCTGTGACCCCTCAGGAAGTTCCCGTTTAACAAGTATTGGCTACGTGCTGCTAACCAGAAGACCAGGCATTCCAGCCCCCCAGCTGCTCTGGAACAATCTGCTTCTGTAAAGATTACCGTCTTGGAAACCCTGTGGGGTTCTTCTACTCTGTCCTATAAGGGTCGCTATGAATTCAGTTTGGGGTTTATAGAAAGTTAAGTTAGAAGACAGCACTTCCCCCAGAATAGTTTCAGGTGTATCTCGCAAGAACAAGACATTTTCCTACAGTGTTTTTGTCAGTTGCTCCTTTCATGGATTGCAAATCCTGGCTAGTTCGGGTGTGTCGAGTAGAACTACTCTTCAGTGGAGTTCTTTTTTATTTTTAAAGTCATATTGTATTGTGTTATCACTAAAGGCCTACAAAGCAGTGTGGATTCCCATTCAACAAGCTCTACACAAATTGTTCACTGATGCTGGTTAGAGTCTCTAAAAGCCATGAATGTTCTCACAATTTCTATTCCGTTTGTTCTGTTTCCATTCATCTAGTTTCCCTGTTCCTGTACCTTCTTATCTTTGTGTGAAAGTCAGTGTCTGCTGTTTTGTGAGGTTCTGTTGAGCCAGTGGCAACTCACAGAGATCCTATGAACGATGTATCTGAACCTGGCGCTCTCCTGCACTGTCCTCACCATCCCCGAAACACTTGACTTTGTTACAATCGCCATGTCAACCCATCTTGTTGAGTGTTTTCCTCTCCTGAGCTGACCCTCCAAGGATGATGTCCTTTTCCAAGGACCGGCCTCTCTTAAAAACATGTTCAAAGTTTGCGAGATGAAGCTTCACCATCCTTGCTTCCAAGGAGCACCCTGGTCGCACTGTCTTCAAGATTGACTTCTTTGCCCTCTCAGCAGTCCATGGGATGTTCATGGGATGTTCAGTGTTTTTCTCCAACACCCCAGCTCAGAGCACTGAATCGTCTTCTGTCATCCTTAGTCATTGTCCCACTTTCAGATGGCGTAGCAAGCAATCGAAAAACCATGACTTAGATCAGGCACATCTTAGTCTCTAAACTGACGTGCTGGTTCTTCAGCACTTTGGAGAGGTCCTTGACAGCACATTTTTCCCAATGTGATACATCTTTTGATTTCTTGATTGCTAGTACCAAGGCCACTAGGTGGCCTAGTAGCAAGACACTGTGCTGCAATCCCAGCGGCATGCGGTTCAAGGCCACCAGCCTCTCTGCAGGAGAAGGGTGGGCAGTCCCCTTCCGTGTGATTAACTGCCTCCGAAAACCTGCCAGAGGGTCAGCTATACAACAACAACAGTCCCAAGGATGTTGGTTGTTGATCCAAGTAAGATGCAATCATTTATAACGTTAGTCTTTTTTCCATCTATCATGATGTTGCCTGTTGGCCCAGGGGTGAAAATGTTAGTGATCGCCTATATTGTGGTTATGTGCTTTTGAGACAAGTACGACTCATAACAACTGTATGAACAACAGATCTGAACCCTCTCCTATCCTGTGCCATCTCCACACTTCCTAACACACTAGAGCCCATTGCAGCAGTCACTGTATCAGTCCACCTGATTGAGGGTCTTCCTTTCCTTCAGTGACCCTCCACTCTTCCCAACACATGTCCCCCTCCAAGGAACATGTCCAAAGTATGTGGGGTGAAGCTTTATCATCTTTGCCTCCAAAGAGCACTCTGGCTGCACCCTTTCCAAGACAGGTTTGTTTGGGTTGTTTTTTTTTTGGCCATCCATGGGGTGTTCAGTGCTCTTCTCCAACACCACAGCTCAAAGGTGTCAATTCTTTTCCTGTCATCCTTATTCATTGTCCAGCTCTCAGATGACTAGCAAGTGAACAGGTCGCCTATAGGTGAGGTTTTTGGTTTGTTCATTTTTCCGAAAGTAGCCTCGTACTTATAGGCGATGGTCATTTGTCTTTTGAGCTAATTTGTTACTAGCTGCAAGGTGACCTCAAGGATTACGTTCCGGTTCAAGGTGCCCCTTTGGGTTTTCAAAGTTTTCAGAAGCAATCACCTGGTCTGTCTTCTGAGGTGCTTCTAGGTGTATTTGAACCATCAACCTTTGAATTAATGACACAACAGAAAAGTAGTTTCAGCCGGGGGCTCCTTATATACAGAGACTTAAAAGTAAGCTGGAGACAGAATGTTTTGACTGGTGTCTTTTCTGAGAACAAGGATATTTTTCTATAGTGGAGAAGCTGTGTAATCACACCACCGTGATCACACTCAAGTATGACCATGTAACATTTACATAAGAATGTTATTTAATATGTAGCCCACATTCTAATTAGCCAAAATGCCCTCTATAACTTTTTTTATTTGCTCTTTCTATTGTTGAAGACAACCCCCCTCAGACATTGACGAGTACAATGTCAACACTGACAGTTCAAGGGCATTGATTACAGCCTTCTGTTTTTAGAACTGTGTCTTGGCGTGTGTAGCCTCGAGTTGGAACTGACCCATAGCTGACCCTCCAGCAGGTTTTCAGAGGCAGTAATCACACGGGAGGAAATTGCCCATCCATCTCCCACAGGGCAGCTGGCAGATTTGAAACATGTGCCTTCAGGATTGCAGCTCAGATTCTTACCACAAGGCCACCAGAGCTCTCTATAGCTGCTTATTATTATTATTAATTTTACTTTGGTCTTTTTACATCATATTTTTGTGAAAGCTTACCTAGCACACTCGATTCCCATCTGACAGTTTCAATGTCAGTTGTTCAGCATGACATAAGTTCCAATTTGTATTCTTTTTTTTTTTTTTTAAATTTTTGTGTGCGTGTACCGTCAAATCAGATCTGACTGGTACTGGAGGAGATTGCCCCTCCTTCCCCTGCAGAGCATCTGGTGGATTCGAACCATGCGCCTCTGGGATTGTAGTTGCAGCTCCTTGCCACTAGGCCACCAGAGCTCCCCTAATTTGTATTCTGTGCCGGTGT